TACTATAATATTTCCTGTAAAGAAAGTTAATACTATAATATTTCCTGTAATGAAAGTAAATACTATAATATTTCCTGTAAACAAAGTTAATACTATAATATTTCCTGGAATCAAAGTTAATACTATAATATTTCCTGTAAATAATAATACAAGTTCTTTTATTTCAGTAATATAAGTTGATTTGTCGGGCCATACTTCCTGATAATAGTTTCAGATTTTATCCATAAAAATTGTAGGCTGTATTTTTGAATACAAACTTTTTTTTTCTGCTGAAGCATTAATTTGTACTTCCTGATACTAACCTTATTTTTCTAAATAACAATTCTAGTCTGTATATTGTAATATTGTATTCAGATCTCCACAACAACGTTACCTTTTAATAATAAGTCAATATTTTCTCTAACTTTCTTTATAAATTGTAATACTTAATTCAGATCTTTTCCCTAACAACGCTGGAATCGTTTTCGATAGAGTCTATGAATAATAGGTTCGCACTAAAAACCCAGTACACTTTCTAAAACTCTTTATAAATACGCGACTAACGAGATTGTTTTGGAACAAAGATACGACAAAGAACAGGTTTCTAGAGTAAGTATAAAAAAGGTAAACCAGAAAATGTTTCTTACAGGAAGAATGATCCCGGATTCAAACTTGACTGCCAGTCCTTCAGGGTCTTTGTTAGACCTTCCTACTAACCCGAAAGCAAAGTTATAAAAATACTAAATAACAAGCAATAAGAAAATATAACTGACGTCCGGAAGTTGATGTCAGCTTTCTTATCACAACCCCCCAGTGACACGACGGTAAGTCTAAAGACTTATAACGATAAAAACCGGGTTTCAGACACCTGTGGTGGGCACAGCACGGATAGCCCAAACAAACAAAGTCAACACCTTCTTTCCAATCGGGTTCAAATTAGGTGACAAAAGAATTAAAACGGAAAAACCTAGAGTGACAAGAAACGGAGAAACCAACCCTCACAGAACTTACTGAATATGTGGAATGACTTAATAGGCAAACAAACCCAGAAACGCCAGAGTGGTATGTGACTAGCTCAACAACAATATGCAAATGAAAACATGTATACTTGACTGAAACGATACAAAAGCGCTATTTAGCGGGAAGCAGTTAAAACTTGCTACGTGGTTCAAGTCTAAAAAACATACCGGAAGACATACTTAAAGAATCACTAGGTTATCTGATGGTGGCTCATCTTCCGGGTTTGAAAAATCCTGGAAGTAACAAAAACAATTGTCCTGTTAAAGAAAAATAGAAATATAGTAACAGAAACATTAGAACAGCTAATACTGACTCGTCTTCTGACTCTCTGTAAACCTTAGTGAAACATTACAACAACCAATATTGACTCGGCTTCTGACTCCCTGTAAACCTTAGTATTACAGAGAAAGTTAAACATTAGAACAGCTAATATTGACTCTTCTTCTGACTCCCTGTAAAATTTAGTATTACAGAGAAAGTGAAACATTACAACAACCAATATTGACTCGGCTTCTGACTCCCTGTAAACCTTAGTATTACAGAGAAAGTGAAACATTAGAACGAGTCAGAAGACGAGTCAATATTAGCTTTTCACTTTCTCTGTAATACTAAGGTTTACAGGCATCAGAGCAACTAATATTGACTCGGCTTCTGACTTCCTGTAAACCTTAGTATTACAGAGAAAGTGAAACATTAGAACAACTAATATTTACTCGACTTCTGATTTCCTGTAAACCTTAGTATTACAGAGAAAGTGAAACATTAGAACAGCTAATACTGATAAAAGAAACGTGACAAAAGTGACTAGAGATCCCACGGTGTTTTCCTGGATATGAAATTTTGTTCTTCAGTAAAGGAAAAAAGACATCAACTTTATCATAAAGTTCAAGAGAATCAGTAATGAAATAAACGGGAGTTCAGCAAAGCCTAACGTGCTAGTAGTGGGATTGAATAGACTAAAGTGCAACTTGAAGTTGCTTAGGTTGAGGAATCTTGTACTGGAAATAAAGCAAAGAAGAAGAACTCCGTGCTTCAAGTAATTCGCTATGGCATAGCTGATCCCATATTTTGTTTAAATACTTTGGAGAGATTATTTCAAAAATGATATCTAAGTTGATGTCTACCACTTTGATCTCTGCCATCACAGGCGCGTAATGAAAACAAATACATGTTGGAACTTTTTTATCCCATATCCAACAGTAGTGCAATACAACCTCGCAGTCTTGAACCGGATAATTACGTAACTGGTCGAGAGAACTAACACACTGGACCTAGATTTACTGATGGATCGTAACATACAAACATGCAGGTTACATTTCGTGATTGGTCAGGAATTGAAACAAATCTGCAAGATACATTTCGTGATTTGTCAGGAAATTAAACAAACATGCAGGTTACATTTCGTGATTGGCCAAGAACTTAAGCCATTAGTAAACATCTTTTGTACCCCCCCCCCCCGGTTCTCATTTGTAATTTTGAGGGCTTATAACGCTAACAGTCGGGTTTCAATATCCACGATGGGCACGGTACAGATAGTCCACTGTGTAGCTTTCTGCTAACTATACAAACCTCTGAGGTGGCCCTCTTGTGGAATATCATTGAAACACAAAACAAGAAGTTCACAAGCGGTCATCAAGAGAGCTGAAGACACCTTAATACTTCATCAAATTATTGCGTTGAACTTTGAAAATATTGAGAAAGTATGTGATTTTTTAAACAAGTCACAAGTCCGTGAGATAGGTTATAACTTCAAAATAATACACTAAAACTCCATTACGTCATGATACTCCACTATAGAGTTGTTTATTTTGTAGTTAAGCGCAAAGTTGCACAATGGGCTATCTATGCTATGGCAACAGCGGGTATTGAAACCCGAATTTGAGCATTATAAAGCCACAGATACTGATCTAAAATGTTTATATATAGGACTTTTCTAGAACTGATAAAATCACTTAACCAATGAACTATGTCAATTCTCGTGA